GCAAGTCTGGCAGCAATATGGCTTACTTCAGCAGCGAAATCTCTTTAAGTGATTTCACTCGCTCAGTCATGGTAGGGATATCTGAAAATATGTCTGAAAAAATTTTCCTGCCCTTATAGGTGAATATAAGATTTGAATGAGTGAATCTATAGCAGATGCTAAATAAGTGTTGATGGGTTAGCTGACATATTACGCACAGTGTTGTTCTCCAGACACTATGAAACATCAGAGTGAAAGTAACTATTCATTTTTAAAAAAAGATTTATTTATTTACTTAAGAGAGAGGAGAGCACATGACGAAGCAGGGGGAAGGGCAGAGGGAGAGGAAGACAAGCAGACTCCCTGCCCAGCAGGGAGCCCTGAGAACTCAGGCCTGGCTCCCAGGGCCCTGCGATCACGACCTGAGCCGAAAGCAAGAGTCTGATGTTTAACCAACGGAGCCACCCAGGTGCCCGGAAAGCAACTATTTTAGATAGCCATCCAACTGTTTTAAGTAGGGAGACTCTCATCTTTCGGAAAAAGTATCCAAGTGATGGCTGGAATTTTGCACCCTTCATCTGGAAGATCTAGAATTACCACAATTAGGGAGTTTGTCAACGAGAGATTTGGGCTTCAGACTGCATTTTTATTCCTAAAGTAATAATCTTTTTTAAAAAAGTTAAATGTGTGAGTCTATAAAATTGCAGTATTGGGGCACCTGGGGGGCTCAGCAGGTTGAGCATCTGCCTTCAGCCCAGGGCGTGATCCTGGGATCCTGGGATCAAGTTCCGCATCGGGTTCCCTGCAGGGAGTCTGCTTCTCCTGTGTCTCTGCCTCTCTTTCGGTGTCTCTCATGAATAAATAAATAAAATCTTAAAATAAAATAAAATAAAATTGCAATATTATTGAACAGACCAGAATTTGGTTTTTCCTGATTCTTCTTGCATTATTGATATCTGCTTTGTGTTATTTTGTAGAACTAGACCCCAACATTATATACAACAGATTTCTAAAAATTATACACTTAATACAGTGACTACAAGGATGTTGTGTACATTGTAACACTGATACGAATGAAGAAAAATTGAGAAAGTCCGTCAGTCACTTTTTTGTTTTATTGATACATCGCTAAAGGTGTAATTGTTTCGAAGGAGCTGGATATCTGGCACTTGATTGACAAAAGAATATAAGGAGAGAATGAATTTTTTCACTTTTTAGCCAGTTATGTTGGCATTTGGAGACAATGTTTTTATTATTACTCTTCTGACTCAGAATGATAACTATAAAGGTCTAATTTTATAAATTGATTATAAAAGGTTGATTTTTTTTCTTTTAAAGATTTTATTTATTTATTTGAGATAAAGAGCAAGAGAGAGAGAGAGAGCGGAGGGTGGGGGCGGCTAGAGGGAGAGGGAGAAGCAGGCTTCCCGCTGAGCAGGGAGCCCAACAATTTGGGGCAAAGGTTGATTACTCTTTTAAAGAGTCTGTCTAGGAGGTCCGCCCTTGTTTTGCCCGAAATGAAGGCATGCAGTGTACTCTTTAATGGTAAATTTTGAATTCAGAAAGAAATCTCAGTCCTATCTTTTAAAAATTTTGGCTGTCTGTAATGTACAGGTGACCCTGGTTCTACACAATCTCTCTATTCTATTTATCCTATGAAATGGTTGTTTCAAATAAATATAAGCTAGATGGAAAAAAAATAAGCCCATTTTACATTCCTCTCCTAATGAAAATCACTGTAGTGATTATTTGAGAAACCATAACTCTTATATAGATCCTCCTCTCAAAAAACACACTAATTTTTGCACTGGATTTTAATCCACTTTGGAATTGAGGTTCCTCCTCAATTCACCCTGTAATAGAGGGACTTAGAATAAAGGAGGGGAAAAAGAAGAAAAAAAATGTGGCTTCCTGAGAATGGAGGAGAGCTAAATTATGACGGAATCCAGTGGACACTCAAAGGATTGTGTAAAAAAATACGCAAATTTGAAATGATCTTTGAAAAAAATTTTTAACCCAATTGCTTACGGTGACATACTGGCAAGAACATATATTAGAGAAAAGGGTACTTTTTAAAATTTGCACTCTATTGTAATTACATACATATCTGGCTTCTCTGATACCATAAAGAGCAAGACATGATTAGTGATTCTCAACCTTGGCTGCACATTAGAATCATCTTGGAAGCATTCAAAAAATGTCTACTTTAATTGGCTTGGAGGATGAAGCCTGGGCATCAGTATTATTTCAAAGCTCCTGCTGTGATTCTTGTGTGATGCTTGGGTTGAGAATCATTGGTGTTGGTCCCATAGAGCACAAGCTCTGGCACATATTAGGTGTTAGAGAAACATTAGTTAGGTACTTGAATGATGTCATGAATGTTTCTTTTCCGAAGCCAATAGTTCAGATTTTGACCTTCAGAGATGTGCTTTTACTGAAGAATTTAATTTAAAAAATTCATATCCTATGAATGAACAATATACATAATTGTGTTACCAGATTATCATATTTAGTTATCCGCTCTCTAAAAAAGGACATTTGGAGTCATTCATGGGAAACATCTGAATGCCATTTAATTTTTAACAATGGATTCTCTAGCACATCAGTGAGCTTTCATGCTACGGGTCAACTAATATCATTCTGTATCTCTAATCAGTGGTAAGTTTGAGACAGATCAGAAAAATATCCGTTAGCTTATAATTGTGTTAAGACAAACTATGTATTATACATGTGTATTCAAATATTAGATCTTTTGGTACCACAATTGTGCAAATTTTCATTCTGCTTTTTTTCTAGAAATCCATTTTTCTTCCAGCCCACATTGTTGGGCATGTTTTGGATACAGCATGTTCAGAGGTACTATTTCATCCACCCACTTTTGAAGTAAAGTCCATCATTGGACCTGTTCTGCATGAAGGTCAAAGGAAATCATTTTTCCTTTTATTATCTTCTATCTTGAATAACTCTCTGTTGATCCATATCTATTTTTTTAAAGTTCCAGTGAAAGAATATTCTGCTAAATAGGGTTTTATTGGGGGCTGGGGAAGAATCTAACTTCTTGTGTTGGATGGTACAATAGGAATATTTATTTATAATGGTCCTGTGTTTTTTTGGGACAGGCCTTGCTCGATGAACTACAGGAAAATAAATGTTCAAATTGGCATTATATGCTGTATGTTCTCTGATCAAGTTGAATTTTCTTTCTTTTTTTAGATTTTATTTATTTATTGATGAGAGACAAAGAGGCAGAGACACAGGCAGAGGGAGAAGCTCCCCAGAGGGAGCCTGATGGGGGATTTGATCCCAGGACCCTGGGATCATGACCTGAGCCAAAGGCAGATGCTCAGCCATGGAGCCACCCAGGTGCCCCAAAGTTGAATTTTCTAATCAACTTTTATAATTTTTATCTTACTTTCATAGTCAGAAGTTTTATAAGCTCAGAAGTGTAACATTCAATTTCTTTTGTAGAAGAGTCTACTGTACTTAACCAGCATCTAATTAAATACTTATTGAATTTATGAAATAAGTGAATGACAGAAAACTGTCCAAGGATCAGCATAGTGAAAAGACTCATATAAGCCTCAACACTGAACACCTAATAAAAGGATTTAAAAGTACAGTGAAGGGCAGCCCCTGTGGCTCAGCGGTTCAGCGCCTGCCTTTGGTCCAGGGCGTGACCCTGGAGTCCCAGGATTGAGTCCTGCGTTGGGCTCCCTGCATGGAGCCTGCTTTTCCCTCTGCCTGGTCTTTGCCTCTCTCTGTGTGTCTCTCATGAATAAATAAATAAAATCTTAAAATGAAAATAAAAAAAGTACAGTGAATGGTGATCCCCAAACAAGGTTATAGATCAAAATTATCCGGGGAAGTTTTTTAAAAAATCAGCTATTCGCCCAAATTTCTTGAAACTGAATCTTGAAGGTGGTAGGAGAGAAGAAATGATGGCAACGATTTCCTTCCCTCCCCCTAGGTGATTCTCATGTAGTTAATTGGGCAAATGTCTGTGGCTAAGCATTTGGAAAACACTATATAATGGAATGTACACTGGATAAGGAATTAAGACATCTGGGTTCTAATCAGACCTCTGCCACCAATAAATCTGGGATAAAATTTCAGTGTCCTTAATGATGGGCATCATTTCTAGATAACATCTCCAGTGATTTGTAAGGCCCATTTCTAACAATGATTCTATAAGTTTTATCTTTCATGATCTCCTAATGCAAATCTCTACTACAGGAATAAATAAACAATAAAATGATTAAGTAAAATAGAGAATGAAGTTATACCCATAAATAAAATCCCCAGCACAACTGTGTGCTACACCAGGAATTTCTGCATATATATACAAGTTTTTACCTGTCATCTAGAGTATATCCATCAAAGGTCAACAAATTAGAAAACCCTGTGGCTACGCATTGGTTCTTACCATTTCAAAAGTATGTGACCTCTTGCACCTCTAAATATTAGTACAAGAGATGTGCAAAGGCGCAATGTATTTTCCCATCTTTCCAGTCTTCTCAAACACCATTCTGATGCTCTACTAGTTCCTCCTAATCAGAGAATAGAAGTTTCTACACCAGCAAATAGAAGTTTCTACATTAGCAAAATGAATAATTTCCTCATCATTGGCTTTAGTCCTTATGCTGTGCTTAGGCCTATTTGTATTGCTACATCCAATGGTACTTCACCAAAGTGCCTACAGGGAGTGCCTACAGGGTGGCACAAAAGAGAAACCCAAGAAATATTCGTTTAATTAATAAAAGAAGGAAAGAAAAGAAGGAAAAGCAAGAGGTAAAAAGGAAAGATGTTGGTCTTATTCAATGAGGATAATGAAGTTTTAGACATCAGTAGGAGCCACATGATCCATTTCCAATAGCTTATGAGTCAGTCTTCCAGAGGCATTGTGTTGAGGTAAGCAGACATCTCTTTAATGTGAAACCAACCAACCAACCAACCAACCAACCAACCAACCAACATAACACTGAGCAGAACATTCAGAATCATTTCTAAAAAGGACAGCTCACCTTTTTTTAAGCAGAGGCTCCCATTGACCGGTTTTCCCTGCTGGTTGATCTCTATTTTCATCCAGCTATGGAGGTATTTCCTGTCCTTCTTGACCACTACCTTGGAGCCTTGTTTCTTGAGAAAGAGAGAGGTATTTTCCACCTCAAGGAACCCTTCTTGCTCATGGCAAGTCCATCGGGGGGCCTGGGAGCAGTGGGTAGAGAGAGCTGATAGGGAAGGGCCTCGAGAAGAATTGGAGATGCCCAGGCACAGAGCCGATTTAACATGAAGCAGTTTTCCATCCTCAGTCCACATCCACTGCTGGTTCTGGTTGGTCCCATCGCACAAACCCACGACCACTCTCTTATTTTTGGAAAGGCACTCTTGTTTATGGACATGGACAATCTGAAACCCCTCTGGAAGAGGAGATACTCATAAGGCACTATGTAGCAAATTATAAGGGCCATCAGAAAACAAAACAAAACAAAATAAAACAAACCAACCCACCCACAAATCAGCCAAGTCACAACCCAAGGCTTATTATCTTTTGCTATTGATATCATTTCAAATGAATATTTTCATTTTCAACACATGTTATTTAAAATCCCAAGGCTGACAATGCAAAATGTCATACTTTGCTTCCTTTCTTTTACTTTCACATGGCTCAGGCAAGAAAACACACTCCCATTGAAATAATGAAAGAAAGCTTGGAAGAGACACAGAACCATCCAAAGAACATGGTGTGATATTTGAGCCCAATTAGTTAAATAGGCTGAAGTTATGAAGAGCCCTGTTCCCTTTCTAACCATGTTAACTCTTTCCATCTCATCACCATCCCCTGCTCTACAAAAATACCCCTTTTCCCAATTCTTGACTTACCACTAAAGTGCTACTTACTTTGATATGCATAGTTTAAATACATGTTTAAAAATTGGATGTGTTTATTCAAAAACAAAACAAAAATAAAACAATTTTTCCCACCTTTCCCTTAAACCTTCTTAGCTAATAGCAACCAATGAAAGTATTGATGATCACAAACACCATTTCTTACAGTCCTGGAGAGAGGGAGCATTTCTCTATACTGTGACAATATCTACAAAGTCCCCACAGTAAATAATAAAATATCAGAATGTCTCGACACACACACAAATTAAACATCCAACTGGTAAACAGCAGTATTAACAAGTGAAATATTCAGGCTCAGAAACCATTTTCTGAACTTTTACTTAATTAGCTCAGCTCTCTCATGAAAACATTCAGACCTTCCTTCCAAATAACTTCCAAATAAGACACATCACGGATCTTCACCCCCTTTAGTTATATCTCCTTAGACTTTCCTTCTTTAACATACACACAGAACCCGCCCCCCCAAATCTATAACCTGATAAGGAAAAAACATGGAGGATGCCCCAGAGTGTTACATAATAATCAAAATTTCTCCTCAAGGTGCTTCCCTCCCATTTTAGGAGCTGCCCAAGGCATTTGGGGGACGTGAGGAGGCCATTTGTTTTCTTTTAGAGAGAAATCTCAACCGTGTGGACATAGCCAGCTCCCTTTATTTCCCTTCCTCATCGTCTTTGGTTAAACTGCCATGGAGACCTGGCTCCTTTTCCGCCCTATTTCAGACACTTTTCAAAGAACAGAGACTCCTCTGGCGGCTGTTGGAGAGACACCACCAGAGAGACGCAAGCCCACTCACCTGAATTCCCGAAGATCAAGCAGGTAAGAATCGCCATGTAAAATTCAGCCTCCATTTTCCACTTAACCACTGTTCATGCTTTGCTTGGGGGGGAAAAAAAATCTCCCAGATAAGAGAAGCAAAGACTAGGAAGGAAATGTGCCTTCATGGTGGGGGAAAAAGTCAGTGACGAGCACTTCCTCCTATTGAATTGTTTGGGGAAGTTTTACACCAGTGTCCTTTTGTCTGTTTCCTTAGAAAGAAGGGATTATGATTACCTCTCCTTTTTTTATGTAGAAAAAGACTTCTGGCCTCCAGGAGTTAGAATAAAACTTGTAAGGTTTCTCCTGCATCCCTTTGGCGCATGACTACTTCTTAACCTCAAGAGGGAAGAAAGGAATTGTAATCTCAGATAATTGAATGTTCCTAAAACATGACATCTCTTCAGGTGATGTTGATTCTGCTGAATAAACACAAGCCATGTGATTTATGAGGGCCTGTGACAAGTGGTAGAAAGACATAAACATGTACCGTTTGTATAATGATATGCTGGGAGTCTATTGAGGGAAACCACATAATGATGACACTTCTAGATCATTATCCCTCAATGATGACAATATTACATGTTAGATAGTTATCTCCACTGGGGAGAGGCAGAGACTAAAATTAAACCCATCTCATTACCTACTCCAGGCTTCCCCCAAAAGATAACAGCTCCTTTCCAATAGGAAAAAAAAAAGTAGATGCTTTACTCAATACTTAGTAGTAAGAGTAGTTTATTGGCAGTAGGAAACAAAGTCAACATAGCTGCATTAAAAATTCATATTTGAGCAGAACATTTAGTGTTTGCTGAGTGCATTTTTTTTTTTTTTGAACTTTGTCTCTTGAGGATTAACCTTTCAGAAATTTAGGAATATCCATGGCAGCATCCTTTGAAGAACTTTTGCAAATGGGACCGGTTACTTCATTCCCAAAGGCATCTGCCTTTTTTTGGGGGGGGGGGGGGGGAGAAGAGAGATTCTAGGTAGATAGAATATTCAAAAATTCCTTCTCAGTAAAAGAGAGACAAATATTTAAAATTTGTGATACATCACCGTTGTTACAAATTTGTTTTTTTTTTCCCCTTTTGAAGTAAAATGACTCACAATGTAGAAATACAGTGGCTGGAGTTCTGGAGCCGAAACCACCTCTATGCGCAATAATAGAGAGTAAATACATATACACCCAGTGACAATCATTGTGCTCTGTAATTGATTGACAGGAGGTACTGATAAATACACATTGAATAGGTAATATTATCAGGACACATTTCCATATAAAATAGTACTGATTTTGATTTTTTTTTTTCCAAAAACAAAGACTTATTGGTTAAAAATCCATCAATGCCTTGCGAACTTAACGCAAGATTCTGGTTAACTGAGAAAGGTAATAGCACTTAAAACAGGAACAGTTTAACAGCTGACAGTCCATTCACAAGACAGATTTTGCAAACATTAAAGCATCTAAACACACAATAATAATGTCTTCAGCAGCTTTTCCAGTTGTCATTTGATGACATATGTCACCGGGTATTTCATGACATACATTCTGTGTGGCAGATAGTCAATACAGACAAAACAAAACAAAAATCCTCCTTAGCTGTGTGAGAAATCTATCATACCTCCATCAGCATAGGACCTTCACAATAATTTAGGGGATGCTTACAAATGCATTCCTATACACAGGGGGCTGGCAATCTGTAAGACGTGGCCGTCTTCCACACGGTCCATGCCACGGCTTAGCTTCGGGACTCCTCTTTCCTTCCATTGCAGGAAGCTCTTTCCAGAAGAGCCTCACGTGGGTAATTGGTTAACCACCCTCAGAACTTGAGGGTCTGGTAAATCTTCAGAGAATCACTGGACAGTCTCTGCTGAAAGTCTGCTCTCATACAGGCACAGAGCGTGATGCACAAATTCATACTGCTCACTAGTTTGGACCATTCCACCCCTACAAGGAAGAGATAATACAGTAACTTCTTACTGTGAACGTGCTGCAGTCTTAAGTAACAGAGACCACATCCAGGCTAGAGTGTTATTATGCCCGGGACCCGGAACAGTCGACCTGGTGATTCTTTTGTTTTATGCCTCTTACCTGTGTCCAAATGACCCAATGAGTGGGCTTAGTGGGCTGCTGTAGATAAAGGGGATTAACACAGGGCCCAGTAATCACTGGACACTTGATGAATTTTACCTACATATGATTACGGGGGAGGCAGTACTGCCTATTGGTTAAATACTTAGGCTTTGGAACCACCCATGCTGAGTGGAAATCCCTCTCATACTAACTCTTGGCTGTGGGATCATGGGCAAGTTCCTTAAAAACTTTTCTGGTTCAGTTTCCTCCTCTGTTAAAGTGGGATCATGACAGTACCCATTGTGCAGGGAGCTGCAGTGTTAGTACCACCTCTCAGGTGCCTTATCATTCATCTCATGGTAAAAAGTTTATGCACTTGGATTAAAATTGAAGTAGGTTCACCGAACAAAACTCAACCGTGAAGTGTTGCTCTTTGCACAAATGCACTATCCTGGACTGGTCTACTGAGCATGAGCTGGGGAAACCACCTGAGTCTGTGGGTGTGGTATGGTGGGTGTCTAAACATGGTAGTGGGTGGGCCCTTAAATGATTGGGGGAAAAGGGAATTGGCTCTTGCTCCTTCCTCCCTTTGTGGTCATCATCACCATCACTAGTGACTCAGTGGTACCTTTTGTTACTGGATTAGTGGAAGACTGCTTCTTGTTATACGTGTATGGATAGGGTAGCTGTGTCACAGTTTGCTCTTTATAATAATAGGTCCTTTACTTGGCAGAGCTCCGGAGAGCGGTCTCAATGTCACTTATTCCTGCACACTGAATCACTGCCTTGCTGTCAGAAGCCTGTACAACTGTGCGATGAGACACCTCATTTTGAGATTAGGTTTTAGCCAGGTCTCCCTAGAGGTTGTTGTTAACCATTCCCAGTGATTATTTCTAGACCATGCAAGCGCTGCAACTTAAAAATAGGACAGATTGCTTCACTGCGACATGATTTCAGGTTAATGGTAATAACTAGGACTGAGCTTGCAGCTCTGTTTACTTGCCGACCTCTATAAACATAAGCTAACAAGATATGAAGCTATTAAGCCTTCATTCTTCTAAACTAAGCAGAGATGTTACATTAGTAAAATTTCATCCTCCTAAATCAGACTAAGATTGATGTGATGCCAAAATGGTGTATTTGGCAAGAAATAAAAGGTAAATTTTGGAGACGGCAACTTAACGGCCAAAGAATTCATTAGTCTTTCCTCCAAAAACTATACATTCTTTGTCGTATTGAAGGCAACTTTCCGGCTAATGGGTCCTTGGTCATACGTTGACAACACAAATGGCAAAGTGAGGATGTGGCAATTCTCCTTCTTAGCTATATGGTAGCATCTGGGCACACCTGAAACCATAACTGGTGTCCAAAAGAGGGCAACTGGGAATCTTAAGAGATCCACCCACGGTAAATACTAGGGCAGCTCAACGTTGCTGAGAGAGGTATTTCCCTTTACCTGACCTTGCATAGCTCAGAGAACCATTAGGTTTCCCCCTTGAACTGCCAGGGATACATGGAGCCTTATATGTGCTCCATCTCCTGGGCTGGTCTCTGAACTTCCTCACCATTTACTTCTCTTGGAGGTAAACTCTTCCATTTTATTTATTTATTTATTTATTTATTTATTTATTTATTTGGGGGATCTTTTCTGGTGAGCTTTGGTATTTATGTGTCCAAGTGGTGAATGAACAAAGCCACAGTCCAACTTTTCATACCCATGCTACCCCAGCTGGGTCAGTGGTATACTCTCTTGGCTGGTATATCTTCTCTGACATTCTGTTAACTCCCTCAAGGCTGTTTCAGCCAGCAAAGATGGGGACGATGGGGAAACAAACTGATTAGCTGTAGAGGCTAGCAAAATTCTTGTAGGTCTGTAGGCTTAGGGAAGGTGTATGAGAAATCACATTATTTTCCACCTAATTTGGAAAGAAGAGGCATCAGAAGGATCCTCAGAGATCACTTATGCCAATTGCTGGCACAATGTAGCCTTTCCAGAAGGGAGCAGTCTACATAGCAGATGGCCAGCTAGTTTCTGTTGCGATGCTCTGTGGGGAGGCGAGGTACCATAAGAAGCAGCCTTTCCCAAAGCTGCAGGAAAGCTTCTGAGGAGATCAAAATGAATCTACTCCTTTCTAAATTTCACCCCATTGGTTGAACTGAAATAACCGCCTCCCCCTCCCCCCCCCAAAAAAAAACGTCTAAAGGCTTCTCTTCTAGTCACACAATAGCTCTCTAAATGCTGGAAAACAACCATCAAAGTCCTATAATCTTTTCTTCTCTAGACTAAACATCCTGTGGTCCTCCATATTTCTATAAAGCTTGGTTTCCCGGTCACTCACCAATCTAGTCTCCCTCTTCTATTTTATCAAAGATGACCTTCTTGGAGTGTTGTGTCTACTCCCGACAAGGTCTAGTCAGTGGGAATATTTTCTCCTTTAAGCTGCATGTTTTAGGCCAACGGGTTTGCATCTGTAGGTATGTCAGATGATAAGATATCATGGTGCCCGCCCGGAGCCCAGTGCCCAGCAAGCATTTTAGGATATTGAGTGAGGGTTTGGGCTGATGAAAATGTCTGCAGGATTGATTAATTGATTGACTGATTGATTTTTGGAGTGTGACAATGACAGTTCACTCTCATCCGGTACTTAACCTATTAAATTTTGGAAACTAAATGCAGGACTCTCTATTCATTCTTATGAATTTCAACTTAGTTTCAGCACAAAGTTCTTTTTTTTCTTCTTCTTCAAGATTTGATTTACTTATTTGACAGAGAGAGAGAGAGAGAGCACAAGCAGGGGGAGCGACACGTAGAGCGAGAGGGAGAAGCAGGCTCCCTGCTGAGCTGAAAGCCTGAGCTCCATCCCAAGACCCTGGGATCATGACTTGAGCCGAGGGCAGACACTCAACTGACTGAGCCACCCAGGGGCCCCTGTTACCACGACTTCTATCATGTCAGTATATTAACTTTTTATTTCTCACTCC